GAAACAGGATTCGGATCGCTCCGCTTCTTTGGGCATACCATTGACAACAAAGGTACTTGACCACTGACGAATAAATTGGCGGCTATCGCGAATCATCCTTAGCCGGCCACTAGGAAGCAACCTGGCGCATTCAGCGGCCTGATTAGTTATTACCAAAAGTTCGTTTTCATCTGTGCCTCTGCTGCGTGACTCTGCGTAACTCTCCCTTGGCTCAGCATCTCGTAAGCGCTCCCCACGTGGTTCGTGACAGCTGAATTGCATTTCCGAGTTAATGTCGGATGTCCGCCACACATCCGGAGCAAATAACCCCGTAGACGAAGCATTATCTCGAGTGGCTTCGGTTAACCGTATCGCAAGTATTAATCTTGTTGAACTAGCTCTGTGTCAAAAAGCTGATCTTGAGTTGAGCCATGAGCTGTTGTCCACAACTCTCAAGCTACAGTCGTATCCAGTAGGAACAGGCAGAGGAAAAATTTTAATACGGCGTCCCCACTGGTCAACCGCGCCAAATAGGTCTGAAGAGCGTGCTCAATTGTCCGTAGCTTGTCAAAACTGTAAGGTCACACGACATACGAAAAGCCCTTCCCTAGCTCCAAACATGCTTTGACCACGTCCTTAAAGATATTGTGGGGCCTCTACCAGAATCTAGTGGATGCATTTGCCTTTTCTCCTGTGTGGATCCTGTCACGAGATGGCCTGAAGCAGTACCTATGAAGGATATAACTGTTGAAACCGTCGCTCGTGTTTTCGGCGAAAGATGGATCACAAACTTTGGGTGTCCATCCTACATAACAGCAGACCGTGGGCCCCAGTTTGAATGTTGATTGTTTCATGCTTTAACCTCACTTCTAGGTTGTGTTCGGTTCCGAATGACAGCCTACCATCCAAAGGCAAATGACGCAACAGAACTTTTCCATCGACAGCTGAAAGGTAAGCTTTCAGTTGCAAACAGACACCAGTTAACCGACGCTCCGCCCCAGTCCTGCTGGGTATTCAGAGCGCATTGAAAGCTGATGCTGGGTGTTCTTCTGAAGTGCTCATCTATGAGACTACTTTTCACCCTCCAGGTGAGTTCGTTTCCCTTTCAACTTTCATAAGTATTCTTGATAGACTATCCCATGTGACTGGACTCACAAATGCAGTGCGCTCAGTTAGGTCTACTCTTGTTCAGCTTCAAGCAACTGATATCTTCGTTCACCTCGTTTTGAAAAAGACATCACACGTTTCAATACGCCACGATGCCGTTCATCGACCACTTGATCACGATGGACCATTCAAGGTCACCAAACATTGTGAAAAATTCTACATAATCGAGCGAAACGGACTTGAAGATACCGCTAGTGTCGACTGTTTAAAAACAGCTTAGTTTGAAGTCAGTCCCATTATAAGTGACTTTTCCGATCATCATAGCCGACTGCCAGATAGCCCATTAATCGGAATTTTTGACGACGTGCCTGGTAATACACAAGTATAACAACAAGCGGCACAACAATCAGATCGAAACAGCAGGTTCTAAGATTATCTAAAGGCGTACTCAGTCGAGCGGTGAGGGTGAAAATAAGCCAATTATTTCTAACTTTAGAGTTTCCCAAGAGGCAACGCTTAATTTTTACTGGGAATGCGAGGAACTTCCTACATTTCTCTTTTTTGTACCGATTTTCCACTACCGCGCAATCATACTTGGCGAAGAATAGGAATGAAGCATAAAATCTGTTCTCGCTGTTCTTATTCATTTATAAATGTTTTTCATTTTGCAACACGTTTTCGTGGCAACAAAGACCTTTGTTTCTATTTCAGGTGCAACGAACACTGAACAGAAAGTCAAAGGACTCTGGAGATCGTGATCGCCGCGGAAATCGATTAGCTGTATTTTATTTTTTCCTTCACCATGGCAATCCAGAATAAGTTCGGACGACCGGGGGCCAGTTTTCGCAGTGAGCGCTCCGGGAGAGCCTTACAAGTGTTGAAATCACTGGGTTTCTAAATCCGACCGGTACCGCCCGGGTTCCTTACGAACCTGCTAGAGGGTGAATGATCTGGAACGTCACACACTTCTCCAGAATCAATGGCCTAGGGTTCAACGAAATTCAACAACGATTCTGACCTTTATTGTTTTATTGGACTCTCTAGGCACTGGGCACCCGGTCAAGGATCCACGCCATTTGGCACCCTATCGTGTTACGATGCGCTGCTCGTAATCGGCCCCCTAGCAAGCTAGTCAGAATGCATCGGTAGTTTTGCACAAACTCGCAAATATGCTAATCATCACCAATATCAACATGGGACCAGGCATTACTGCGTGACGGTCCGAGTTGCCACACCTCATATCACTACATCAAGTAGAAAGGTAGTGAGGTGAAAGATAAAGATAAGAGAATTCAGTCAAAAGAAATATAAGGTACGAGGGGAAAGGATGACAAAATAGGGAGAATCGGTATAGTGTTAAGATGCGGATAATGTGTGTATACATCCGTGACACTGACACCGGTTCTCAGCCATATCACCTAGAGTCTCCAACCACTGGTTCCTCTTGTCCCGTGGACTCAAACCACCTAGCGTGCGTCGCCCCACATGGCTCAAACCAACAGTCAGAGACTTCATTCACTAGTGCCATCTTTTGGTCTGGCCACCTCGAGCCTTTTTCCAGCCTGGGCCAACTTCGGCCAACATTGTGTGACGAAGCGATCGGTGATTAGGCATATGTAGTACGTGTCCCAACAATCTCGATCGACGAAGGCCCACAACCTCGTCAACAGATTTGCCTCCACTCCCTAAAACTCTACACCTGACTCCTGCATGACTCTGGTGGTGACACCACGGAACACGGCTTATACTTCGAGGGTAACGGTGGTCAAACACCTGAAGCCAGCCTTACTAGGTCTTCCACATTGAATGGCCACGTTTCACAGCCATGTGGTAGAACAGACCGAGCTGTTATGCAGTACACGCGACCCTGCATATTCAGGAATAAATACTGTTGTTTGCGACTAGAGAAGCAGTGCCTGTGGACAACTTATTTTTGAGTACAAATATTACCCCTTCGAGACTACGTTTTCTCAGGACTTGGAAACGTATAAGAAGACCGTATCATTGACAAGGACACTATATGACATGAACGAGAATCAGAATAGCCCACGAGAATGAAAAATATGTTTTATCTTCTGCAGGCGGAGTCGTAGGACTCTACTGTGAACACAGAAATTACGGAAGTTTAGGGCACTTGTAATGAACACCCAAATCCAGAGCAACACCAGAAATCAGCCCTTGGAATAAGAAACCAACGTCCAGCTGCACAAATGATCTCAGCGTCGCGGTATAAGCGCTCAATGCTAACTAAATGCCCATGAAACAGTGTCGCTGCAACAATGCTCAATAATACTACATTTTACATTCAACAAACTTGTTTCATATGTAGTTACAATTTCTCCGATTTATCTATTTACTTTGACAAATTCGGTGAATTTGTTAATCCTACCTTGGATATCTACTTTTCTGTAGTTCGATTAGATCGCATATCACGTGACTATAGTCTCCCGTCGGCAGTTTGTCTAGACAGAGTGGTGTTCCCAGCCCTGAGATGTTCTGCGCGGTTTTAAGCACGCAAGGCCGTAAACAGAAGTCTTCAGAATGGTAACACCCCAAGCACCCAAGAGAGACCATGGTTTCGGTGTGTGAATACAAAGATCTGCAGAGAAATTGGATGTCTCATAGCCTGAGAGGCTGAAACGCTAAATCTATTAGCTGTGGGCCATCGCAGAAAAAGTGGCGATTTAACGTAGTCTAAATAAATAACATCAGACAAGTGGCGCAAACAAAATAGACTTAGCTGCAACGTGGCAACCACCAGGAAGGAATCTCATCAAGATGGTACGTCAGGGAATTTAGGCCTAACCTTTTCTCTTTGAGAGTATGTGCTTTATGGAATGTCTTACTGCGGGATGTGATCACACCCCCATCAGTGGACTAATTCGAAAGACCGTTACACAGTGTTGCTTACGACGGACGTATTCAGAGGGCCACTGATCACACTGGCTCACCATTACTTCCCCCCTCCCATTTGCCACTCACCATCTCTCCTACTGATGCACCTAAATTATCTACTAAACCTTATCTAGCAGCTGGGCCAGTACTATATACTTTTGCCCTGAGGATAAGTCCCATGTACCTTTTCCCTCTATCTCGCCATCCCCATTCAGACACCTATGCAGGCAGAAGTCACGGAAGACTCCTAACCCCCGTGGCAACCCATACCTCCTTAACCACCTCAATCTAAAAAATTATAATTATCAATCCACAACACATTCATCTAACCGGAGCTAAAAGTAAGGAAACGGAGGAGATTTCCTTGCCCACTGCAGGAGCGAACCGAAAAGCAAGCACCAAGCCTCAAGAATTAGAGGCAAGAGATCAAAAGCTATCATTTTCCGACCCTCACTCTATTGTTTTTGGTTCGTATTGCCCCTCTACACGAACTAGACTGCAATTCTCGAGGGAAATGCCTCACCATGTGAAAGGCCGTTCGACACTCTACTGGCACAGGATTACCAGACATAAAGGCCAACCACCACTTCTTCATACTTGCAGAATCCCCGCGATTGTGATTCCGAGAAAGATCGGAATAACGTAGCCATGTAAAAATAGAATATTTGGTGGACTGTGTCAATATATCGATGCGCCTCAACTAAGTGGTGTGAGGATCACGTACGGGCCGCACAACGTAGCCTAACAATGTGTAAAATGGTGTGGAAGCGTGACCATCTGCTTTCAGCCAGGCCAAACTGTTAAAAATAGTAAGGTGAGCATCAATGTTGAATCTCGTCTAACCCTAGTCCATTGATTTTAGGGAATTAATTACCACTATAAAGCTATAGGTAGGTAGACTGAAAAACCTCCACAACTCTTTATGGAGTAAAACTGAGCAAAAAGAACCAGGTCTCAAGATGAGGAAACTAGTGTTCAAGAATCGTGAACTTCTTCCGGTCACACCATATATGTTAGATGTTGGACATTGGAAGGACATTGTATGCTGAAGCCGCTCCGTCAGACTTTGTGCGTTACTAACTGCTACAAAATCTTACGGGCAAGTTGGATAGTACGCCTATGTAGCGAATTCAAATCTATATAAAATCCTCCAGACAAAGACTTTGCTAATAGGCAATAGTTTGAGTGAAGGCAAATCAGGGATGTCTATCGCTTCTTCACAAATTTCAGTCCAGTATGAATACGGTAATGCGTTCATAGGAGGTGTAACTACGGCAAATGGATGCAACAATTAAAAATAAAGGAACTGGCATATACACCCAGTAGGAAACAAGCTGGGCAGTGGGCGCTTGTGATCTGGATATAACCAGAGTGTCTCCTAATCATTTACTACAGTTATACCACGGTATTCTCCTAATGAACATCGGAATTCGTGATAAGTCCTAACATTTTGGCTGAGTGGTTATGTACAGCACGGTTGCATATGACCCCTCAGTCAATCCATCAAGACGACCGCAACTCTCCGGCAAAAGCTGCACTTTTTCATTGTTATCCTGATCGACTCTGGGATTCACGTTTTGAACCAGCTTGCCTTACTATTTCGAGAGAATAGCATGGTTGTGGGATTTTTTAAAAGTACAATTGATGAGTTCGTAGTCTCCAGATCTTTTAAAACGTGTCTTAGAGGCGTTTCCCCCATCTGTTTCACATAGAAACCTTTTTCGGGGTGTTACAGAAAAAACCCAACTTGGAAGCGATTTCAAGGGTAAACTCCATAGTCTGAAATTCTCAAAGTAATGTTTAGTTGTTCCTTCCTAATAAGTATAGGTAGTTTGAGTATATAAAGGAGTATGTGAAGAATCTTGATATGCACGTCAGTTTACTTATTCAACGTGATGTTCGGAAAAAAGCCAATTGTCTTAAACAAGGAATGCCAGACTGATACACAGTCACCTTAGTCTTCTATACGCCTAACACGAATGCACGACGAATTTTCATTCCAGTCATTTTACCAATGAGAATCTTTTGTTGTAAAGTTAAGCAAACTAACTGCAGATATGGCGTGATGGATTTAAGGGATTTTAAATGATATTAAAGTGAGTGTATAATTGTTAGTTCAGAGACTGGTGTACATATGTTCCAGTGGGTGCATTTATTTTCGTATGTGCTGGTGGCTTACTTCGTTACTGTCAATTTTATTCACAAATAAAACGTTGGGCTTCTTTGCCTCGCCATTTATTTCTACTCAGTGTATCTACATGGTTCATAACAAATTGGTGGAGTTGTAGCCTGTATTTTGGATAGCTTTGAAGTCCTTGGTGAAACATCATACTTGTCCTTAAAAGTGTTCCTGTACTGCTCCTTTTTGTTGCTCCTAACAAATGTTAGATGCTTTATTGTTCGAATTGTCTTGTTACTTTTACGTAATACTGACATTATTTCCTAACTTCGTTAGCGAAAAGTAGTTAAATTGGTCTGCTGGCTGAACTAACAATGATCTAAGCCTCTCAGCACTATTGACCATTACTCATTTGTATTTCCTCTGTTTGTGCATTTGCGTTCTGGACTTTAAGCGGACAGATTTGAAGCCAGAAGCACTTAATGACCCTTTCTATATTTGTGAAAAACCACATTTTGCTTGTACTTCTGCAAACTTTAGTTTCGAGTAAAATTATTGGTGTTTTACCTGAAAAATACAGATCAGTTATTTAACATGAGGTCTTTCGATTGCTTTTTATAAGGGTGGGTAGTACTTTAGTGTATAACGGTAGTTTATCGGCAAGTGAATGAGGGGGTATTCATGTATAGGGGACACATCTCACTCAAAGTACAGTGTTATGGTTTGATCATTTGTTTTCCTCTGAATGACCGGACAGCATTCTTAAACGCTATGGAATAGGTGCCACTCTTAATCTAACACGCTAATCAAGAGGTGGTCTTCGTGAGTATATATGTATGCCTGTGTGTGTTGGATGTGCACCAAAACTTGCTAGGTTTTTAGTATTGGTAAGCTGGAGTTTGTCAATGTCCTTACTTCCTGTCCGTAACAGGAATATGTCATCAGTGTACTGTAGACTCAATCTCCAGGTGAAAAATTGACTTCGGTAAGTATCTGACCAGCGGAAGATATCCAAAAAAACTGAGTATTGTGTGAAGTTAATAAGAAATCGAGGAAAAAGTATGGCTGCTGTTCGGTACTAAAATATTTTTCTCTACAATCTGAGGTAAGTGAAGGTCAGTTAAGTATGTTGTCCATCTCCCCGAGGATGCCGTAGGCTTTATTGGGCTTATTAATCGAGACCAACCGTTATGCATTAAAAGCTGGTTAGTTTTAAGTTCCCAAAACCATTCTATCTGTGATTTTCGTGGAAGTATCAGTCACTTATATGAGATTGGTATCCTCGAAAATTGGGCTTAGTTTCTTCTGCTTTTTAGGCATTCAGTGGTTATTTTTGACAACTTTTGACAACCCTAGATTTTGTCTCACGTGCACAGATATCTACTTGTTTTCATACCTCATTGTCATTTAGCATCTGAGTAAAACATTCTGTTATCAACTGAACAAGTAAGTCAGTCCGAAAGTCGTGTATTACGGTGGACGAGAACGAGTTGTCGGACAAGGTAGTAGGGTTTAATACTCCGTACAAGTCAGGGGCTGTTTTTCACTTGTAGGATACTGGGCTATCCATTCGATTTAGCCTTTGTTAAGATGTATCTTGCGAGCATTTATTTTGTCGCCAACTTTTGGAATCTGAACGATTAAAACCGTTCTGTTGGATGATAGTAATTAAATTCGCAATATTATTTTAAATACATGGGTGGATGTTACAATCACGTGATATTTGGTAAATTTGAATACGAAATGGTTGACAGAACGTGTAGATAACACATACACGCAAATCGATTTGTCGTTTTCGAAAATGTTAAAGCAAGGCAAGAGTCAAATGAATATTGTATTGTGAATATTTTATAGTGAACTGCTTCTACGCCAAAATGTTGGCTGTCAGGTAGACGGAAGTTCCATAAGATATCATTTTATGGTGTGTCTGCTTTCGATGCAATAATCAGGTTAAGTTATTATATCAGCCCAGCCTAACCTCTTACTAGCTTCAATGCTTATTCTTTATTGTTATACTGTGGCCATTAGTTGGATTGTACGGCGATATTCTGTAATGTCATATTTTGATAGGGTTCCATAGACAATGTATTATTTCTAATTGAAGTTGTATGACAGCTGTGTTTTTTCTGAGGAGCGATAACGATTTTCAAAGCAATGGATCGCGTGACTATTTCTTCTTGTTTCTGGAAGGGTTCGAATGTGTTGACTTTGGAATTGCATATTATATCCCACTCCATGGTGTACTGTGTTTAGCATTGCCTTTCATCTAAATGCAAGTCGAAGTACAAAGAGCAGTCAGTGAACTATGAGAGTTCTCCTTGAGATTCGCACTCACGTCATTAGGTTATTGAGATCAACGAGACTGACGGTTTGTTAACTGTCGTATAAAAGTCATCAAGACTGTGTTGTTAGGATGGGACAGATAGTGTTAACTTAGGAAATATGACTTCTCTTTCGGTTCTATCAGAATAATGTTAGCTTTCCTGACTTTTACATTAAGTAGCCTGAAGTGAATACGACACGCAAGAGTTTTTAGTGTTAAATCTTTCCGCCTCATGTCTTCTCTTATTCCTCCTCCCTTTTCATAAGCTGTTCAACCTGTTTTGTCTTTGTATCTTGCGTTTTTGAAGCTATATTCTCAACTTCATGGAAGGACTCTTGGCACCTAAACTTTAATGAAGTTGGTCATTAGTGTTTTTGACTGGAATCCTAGAGTTGCTGTATTTGGCTTAGAAAATATACACTAGACCCTTGTTTTTACTGTCCGTATCTCGACTTTCCACGATTTATCTTGTAGATATGCAGCGTATTACTATTTGGTATGTTTAAACTTGTGATTGTTATTCGATCAGGTGTTAAAGCTAGTGGTTCGTATCGAACTTGAATGGACTACGTTGTTCAGGTGTTCGTTGCACATTCCTAGCAGCACTAGCTAAAATGGAAGTTATGGGATCCAGTGTAGTAGTGAGTTTTCTGCCCTAGTGCTTAGTGCTATGCTTACACCTGCAAGACCACGAAAGCTAGTTATCGAATCTCCAGAAACTCGAAGGGTGAATTTTGCGGATTCACCAGATTGGTCAGGAGAGGTCAGGTGAATAACCAGACTTGGGTCCTGTATGCGTGTCTCACAAACACAGCACACATCCATGGCCCGAGTTGCTAGAGTCTTTGCTAACGAAGCCTGTTGACCAATTTGACGGAGGGTGGGGACATTGGAGGCTTTAATATGTAATTTGGAGCGTGGTTTAAGGAGACCATTGATGCTGTTCTGTGGACTCAGATCGTTGTCGAAAGCTGCAGAGGTAGGAGAAATTGAAGATGATGCAGCATCATTAATTGAGAGACGTGAAGGAAGATTAGAAGGTAATGATGGAGGAGGTGGATAGCAGTCAGAAGAAACTTGAGTGCTGACAGAGTTGTGAGGGCGGTTGACACTTCCCGGCTGCCCACACCGTGGAAGGCTATTTTCTTCTTAAGGTACCTGAAAGAGATTTGTGTGACCGCAGAGCCCATCGGACATCTGCTTGAGGCCTGTCACACGAAGCCTTTTGAGTATGATTATTTTGAACTTTTGTATTTTTGGGGCCGAATGGTCGAGAGGAAACGACAAGTGAACCAACACAGCCGGCCCGTCAGGCCGTGGGGTATGGTGGAGTGTGTTATTTTTGGGGCCGACCTTTTCTAACCCTCCCTTCCATTGAGAAGGCAGCATCAGCATGGCACTGCTGGTCATCCAAGGGAAACACCTTACTGCTGTCACACCCCATCCAGCTAGCAGCAGTACGACTTCGCCCTCAGACCCCCATCATAGTGTAGCAATTTACACTATAACGGTAACTGCCTTTCGTCTAACCACTATCCAATAGACCTTTCTGGTATGGTAGGACCTCGAGGGAACAAGTGTTCCACCAGCATAGCTCGTTGGGTCATTGTGATATGCAAGCCCGACCACCACGTCAAGGTAGCAGCTATCGGCCGGGAGCACTAGCTAAAATGGAAGTTATGGGGACAAGTTGTGAAGGGGAAGAGGACAACACCTGGGTGTATGAATTCAGTTCCTATTAATGCTAATTGCATCGCAAGTTGCAGACCAATTGTTTGTGTTTACTGATGACAGAAGTCTGTGATTAACTGTATAGGATTGATTGTAGGGGAAGTGATAGAGTTGGATATTCTTACTTAACCATTGTGCCTACCCGTTGGATGTTGCGATTGTGAGCGTGCACCGACTGAAGTGATTGAGATATGTATTCCGACTGCCGAACTACCGTTTATACCGACTCACGGTGTTATCTGAGGTAAGATTAGATAGAAAAAAAACCTTGGGTTGACCATATCAAAGAATTTCACTGGGATAAGAAGTCACTGACTGTTGATTTGATCCATATGAGGAAGTGTAGGCTATCTGATTAGGTCCTCGATATGTTGGGGACTGATGTGACTTGAAATTGATCACAATAGTGCAGACTTATCCACTTTTTTCCTCTGCCTTCGTTCTTCTCATGTCTTCCTTGTTCATGTCAATATATGTCTGCTTCTGTCAATTCCCTTGTTCTTGATTGAGTGAATTGCGACTGGTGAGACTGGTACAATACTGTAGCAAGCTTTGTAGTGTCCATAAGTTGGATGAACGTGTTGTTCTTATATGAGAACTTGGACGCAACTTTTCTTTCGCTTATGAATAGTTGGTGACTCGTAGTATTTTTGTGAACGTGATGGTGAAGCCACCTTGAGTTGTATGTGGATTTCTTGTCACCCGACTGAGACACTAGTAGTGAGTAGAGTTATAGTCACTTAGTAATGATTATCTGTTGTACCAGTCATGTTGTGTAGATCGTAAGTAGATATTAAACTGACGTTCTCTATTTCTGAGAATGATAACTGACTGTGTTGTCTGAGTTGATGGTTTCTTACCCTCTGATTAATATGCAATATGCATCATCTTGGAATTTGGACCACTGATGTGTGTGTGTGTGTGTGTGAATTGTACATAAGCACGTCGGTGTTTTTGTCAAGGGGAGTGTTGTCCATTGCTTCTTCATAATGGACTATCATTGTTTTGTTTCAGTTGAAATGTCGGCTTCTTCAATTGGTTGTTCTCCGAGACAGGATGGAACAGCTGTGAAATGGGCTAAGTTACTTCCCGTTCACGACTCGTCTATGCATGAACTTTCTCAAGAAGTGACCACTCTTGGATCATCTGAAGGTTGTTTTATCTTTTCCTTGCATCATCTAATTTCGTATTCTGCTGTTAGATTGTTCCATTATTGTAAGAGATGAACGTGTTTCCAGTTCACATTGTATGCTAATCAAAGATCCGGATAATGTGGTATGGTTGTATGACTGCAGTGAAACTGGCACACGGTGTAATAATGGCAAGTGGTTAAATCAAGATTGCGTCACTCTGCATACTGGGGATTATTTTCACCTTGTATGGGATGAAGTGGATGCTAGTAGAAGTAAGTTGACCTGTTTTCCAGGAAAGAATAATGGCTGCATATTTTTCCTCCTAAGGAGTTGGGTTTTGTGTCCTGTTCGCTGATGATTGCAAAAGTATTGATTCAGTCGGTGAACATGATAAAGCCATAACTTCTCTGGAATCTCAACCGTCAACGTCATCATCTTCGAATCTGTTGAAGCCATCAGCATCAAAGTTATCAGCTGAGGATGAAGATTTAGAGAAATGTTTAACTTGTGTTATCTGTGGAGATATTTACTTTGAATGTTGTAGGTATGTTGGGGCAATTTTGTTCAAAAGAGAGTTTGAATATATATTTTTAGTGTCCAACCATGTCTGCATAGTTTTTGTACCCTTTGCTGGTTGAAATGGCAAAAGTCTGAATGCCCAATGGTAAGTAATGCTGTTTTGTTTTCATGTTTATTAACTGTCACGTGTTCTTGAAGTGTCGTAAAGCAGTATCAGCTTATGCTAAGAATCACCAACTGAATGATTTGGTCGAGGTGTTCCTTCGTAAATATCCAGGTAGGTGTTTGTGTGCTTTTTTTATTTACATTGTGACAGAGAAGTCGAAGCCGGACGTGGAGCAGAATGAAATCAAACAGGAGATAACACGGTTGACTCCTGTAAGTGTTAATAAATTTTGTTTTGGAGTATCTAAAACAATTATTTTAGACTCCTAATCAAATTCGTCGGTACAATCGTCGACACAGAAGGTATGTCGACGTTTTTTTGTTCCTATTGTATGTTGTGTTTTGGTTTTACATGTTTTTTGTTTTCTTTTTATTGGATGTGCCTTGCGGTGTCGTTTTTCCTCTTAGGTAAAAAAGTCTTGATATCCATTTTCTTACCTATACTTTGCCACCTTTTTGCTCGCAGTTTATTTCTGGTTTTTTGTGGTTTCTTAGGTTTTGGATGTTTTCTGTTAATCTCTAGCGATGTACCAGTGATCTCTCTGAAGTGTGCTAGCGGTGGAAAGTTTTTCCACTACGGTTTCGTTGTTCGACAATCGACTTGTGTCGTCAGCTGCATTTAGTTGGTTAGTGTTTGTCTTCGTTTATATGCTTTGTACCGTCGATGTAATGGGTGCTTCTATATGAGTTTTAAGATCAGGTGCTTGGACTCACTCTGTGGGGAACCGTCGTAAGTTTTCAGATATTTCATTTACGTGAGCAGTTGTATGAATGCTGGTGAAGATGTGACGGGCGAGATTTCTTATTTTGTATCAAAAGTCAGAGTAGTATATAGCAATGTGTCACGTTTTGGGCTCTTTTGATGTTTGCCTTTCTGTAAAAGGTCGTGTGTACAACGCATCTATGGTGGCCTAACATCTGAGGAACGTGGTCTGTCTTAATTGAGGATGTCTGACGTCTCTGGGTGTGTTTGACCAGTATTGTCTAGCATTCGGTTGAAGTACGATGTAAGTGACTGTGATATGCGGCAGTGAGAGCCTGAGTGGGACAGAAGTCATTCAGAAGCACTAGATTCGTTTGCCTGGAGTTGTGTTATAAATGTCGTTCCAGTGGCTTTTATACCGTTCACGGTTTTCTTACCCTTAGACTGGTCGAAAGAAAAGAATCAATGGTTAGTGTGTAACACGATACCGTAGGATGAAGAGGGCTTCTTGGGTTAGTATCTGTAGGTGTCTTAAAAACTCCATAGGTGTGGTTTGAGAGATTATACAAGTTAATGGCTGGAGACGACGGTATGTGTCGTTCCGAATCAAAGCCGGTAGTAATCATGTTGCCGGTTTCCTTTTTCTCCTGTTATGCAAAGGATGCTTCTTCAGTAACCTTGTTTTATTTTAGCTGATGTACAGTTTTTTTCTATTTCGTTTAAGTCACTTATCTTTTTAATATCATTGTATTGTTTTGTATAATGCCTCTCTTGGTGCTTATATTGTAACAAGTTTTGCTTTAGATAGTCAGTAATGTACTGTCATCCGGTAGACAAATATTCAGAAATGTGAAATTTCAACTTTCGTCACTGTATTCCGAGGGCATAGACAGATAAGCCATTTTATCATCTGAATTTCCTAACTCTTCCGTTTTCTTTTAATTTTTCGTATGATTAGAAACAGCCAAATATATACCGTCAGTGGAGGTGGTCGTAATACGTCACTTTCCTCTGTCATTCCAACAATTAATGCTGTCGTCCCAACTATCAACTATCCTACTACCGCATCGACGACCATACCACAGATATATATCCCGTTTGTTGATGGTTGTGTTGTTTGTTCATGGTTACCATCAGATGGTCGTCGTGGTCGGAGTGTCGAGGATCGTGTTTCATACGGAAATGAATGTAAGTTAGTGTCAGGTTTGTAAAGTGTATTATTACAACGTGTTACATAGAAAATATGTCGATGATTTTCAGCATAAATGTCAAGCAACCAATAAGAATTTGTAAATAATGATCAGTTCAACGCGGTAGTTCTACAAATTAGTAAATTGCTGTATACTGAGGACATATGAGGTCAAGACGAAAATTACCAAGTGACTGACTGACAAAATCAAGGTAGTACCTCGAACACAGGTGCATCGGCTCAATTTGTCACACTTCAGTGGTGTATTCAAAGAACAAGCGGATATAAAAAGAGTGATATCAAAGTAGATAAAGTAGTGTGAGAGAATAAACAATTTCAAGATAACACTTAGTGCAAACACTCAAGCTTTAGATGTCGAAGAGTGAATATGTCTCCGCCGGTGAGGCCGATTTAATACCATTTCACTGAGAGTTCTCAACCACTGTTTCTTACCATTTCGGAGTCCCCATTCAGGCAATCTACATCTCCTCATATAACTCAGACGAACAGTAAGAGACTTCATTGACTGATATCACGTCTTTGTCTGACCACCCTCAACCACCTTCCAACCTAATACAACTTCCTGGGCATGCACAGTACATGTCCAAATCATCTCAGCCGACTAAGGTTCACGACCTCACCAATCGACTTGCCTGTCTAGCCCAGTACCCTTCCCTTGACCTCAACAATGTTCACACAGTGATTCCACCAAAGGGGAGCAATGCTACAAAGACGTCTATGATCAAAATTCTGTAATCGCTTCGTGCCTTCTTCTTTTAAAGGCAATGTCTCTCGACTGTACAACAGGACAGAGCGGAGTGCAGGAAAGCATACTCGTCTTTTGATTATTAGTCAGATATGTCACCCAGCGGTTCGATAGATAATACAACTTAGTGGATGCCAAACAACCCTTCTGCATCCGAGCTAAGATTTCATCAGCAACCAGACCGTTCAATTTGATGCTACTCCCCAAGTAAGTGAATTGGTCGATGCATTCCACCACTTCACTTTCTATCATTAAACTGAGAGTGGTCACTGGCCAGTCCTGGAGCAGGTAAATAAATGCTTTCGTGCTGATTCACCTGCTGGTGTATGCTGAAGTATATAAAACGTAATTCTGTTGGTCGCTTGTGGGACTGATCGGTTTAAATGTAGTGCTTTGATCACAAACTGGCGTGAACTGAGGAAGTATTAAGAACCTTGGAGCATTGGTTATTTCCCTGTTTGGAACTCAGCAGTTTATATCAACACAACCGGAGTCAAGCCAGGATAATTAGATCTCATGGTGAACACGTCACCACTCTGTTACTGGGTTGGAATCCAATCGTCCACTTTTTCCTGCTTCCGTTTTTTTGCGATAAAAACTGCTTTTAATTGTATAGAATTTGTTCAGAGAGAGAATTTTCAATAGGAAGATCACTTATTTCTTAGACATTTCAATAGAGGTGAGTGTAAATGAGTCGTCGGTTCCATATAAAAGGATGGAATGCTATACTAGTATCATGTATGAAATACAAAAGAATCTCCTGAAAGATTTTCAAAAGAATTGCTACTTTACAGTAATGTAGGTTCAGAAATAAGAAATGGTTTATTTTCCTAGTTATCTAACAGGAACTTTGCGTACATCTAACCGAACGTGTCTGGCATTTTTTGTGGTATACCGATAGACCATAGTCATCATTCTGATTATTGATCCTTAATCTTTGTTCAACTCCCATATCACTCATTGAGTCCTGATTTCCCAATTATTTCCGTTTTATATGATTTGACACCCAGATAGTAGTATTATATTTCATTGTAAATGGGATTTATTCAGATTTCTCACTTTTTATACTATCGATAAGATTTGACCATTTTTAATCCAGATGAAAATAATGTAGATGAACTATTGTATTTACATGTTAGGAAAAGATCGTGAAATAGGTTTGATTTCAGTTGAAAAAACTATCACTGGGAACTGGTACATTCAGGTAATCATACCCACTATAGAAAGAAAATTCTACTGTTCAGCATGATCAACTCAGATCAAGAAACTATGAAACTTGAATAAAATTAGTAATAATGGTAATTTTTTAGTACATCGAAGCTACTCGGAAACAATTTTTTTCAATAGTATTGCTAATGTATGTCACTATTTGTTATTATGTGCTTTAACCTTCAGAAGTGGCTATCACTTAACAGCATACTTATTACTCATTTTTCGAACCTAAATGGCTTAGTTGAATAGTTTTAATTTCTTGTGAGTTAATTTCTCCTAAGTTATTATATATTTAATGCCTGATTTAGGGAGTTATCAGTTTGTTAAATGTTAATTTTATTGAATACATATTTCGATTCTTCCACATGATGGATGCGTTTCGCTAATAAACTTACTTAACTAGGTTTCATGCTTCCTTATAGTCTTTTCAGTGCAAATGTAAACTATTTTTCTGACTTTTGACTACTAACTATTGAGTTATAGGTCAGGAAAATGCTCCATTTACTTATAGTTCGTATACTGAAGGCTCACTTGGCATATGCCAACTCGCCTCATCTCTGGCACCGTTCATATATCCGACTACACATTTACGGGACGAGTGTAGTGTGTCACAGTTCATTCTTTCCTGTTATACAACTATGAGACGGTCGTTAAAAATAAATATAAAGAGGCTTCAGGCTTTTGACCATAAGTGCCTTCGTATCGTTGCTCGCCATATGAGCAATGTAGAGGTTAAGTGAGACGTACTGAACAAGACAGGCAAATCAGTCTATAAGGTTTTGAATCTTCAGGAACTGAGGTGGATCGGACATGTGTCGCATATGCTGAGCCACCGCCCACCTTGAAATTCAGTCCTTAGAGAAGTTGGATTAGGTTGTAGGAAGGCTCAGGGTGACCAAACGAAGACGAAGCCTCTAAATTTTGGTCTTAGCCGCGTGTGCAGGTGTAGACTGCCGAGTCGGGGTCCCCAAGACAACGGGAATCAATGATTGGAGAGCTCCAGTAAAATGATTGAAAGTCGGTCACGGCCGCGTAAATGTTTTCCAGAGTTTGGATGTTTTGACTAACCTTCACTTTTAGATTTCTTCTTCTCCTATACACCTTTTGCTACTTTGATATCAGTCCTTTTCTATCCATTTGTTCCTTGGATTCTGCTGTGAAGTATGGCAGCTTGAACCAATTCACGTCCATGTGAGGTTTTACGTTGGTTTTGTTTTGGCAGTTGACTAGTATCGTAAGTCCTCAAACACCAAGTGTAGGTCATAGTCTAGTCAATAAATCGGTGGAAGAGTTACTACTGACAGGAATCTACTTAGCATAAGTATTCATCTTTTCAGGCAATTCAACGAATTAGAAAAATTCCTAATGAATAAAATCTATTGTGTGCTGGTCGTGTAAATATCATTTTGGTTCATCTTAGCAGTAACACACAATCTTCTGCATTCAAAATATCCAGAATTCTTGAAGATACTGTAGTTTCTGGACATCTTATTGACATATCCTAAGCTGCTTAACTTGGCTCTACATCTAACCAGGTTATATTCATTAATCATCACTTTTATGTAGCTTACGGATAAGGACTGAAATTGTTGAATGTATTGACTACTTCATTGTCTCATTTATAAAATTTATGAATTACTATTGTAATGCACTTGGATGTGCTGTTCAGCAAGCGAAACTAGTTCTAAAACATAGATATTAATCCACAGTGTTATTTTAGAGAGATGGGTCAAGAAAGAACAAAAGACAGCACCAAGACGGAAAGAGCACATAACACAAAAATGGGAATTAGCGTTTGTTCATTCAGGTCAGGTTTGTCTACCTGACTGTACAGTTGGTCCATAGGATTCTCTCGTTTAGTACGTTCAATGCAAAAGAGAGCAAATGAGATAAGATCGGTTATCATCCAGTGTGAAGCATGGTTTCGATCCTGCTACAACTATTCCCTTTGCCGACAAAGCCACTATCCCAGAACCGATACTCCATAAGCACCATTTAGTGGCCGCCGTAGGTATCTTCATTAGGGAATGAGCAGGCTTCACCCTGGTGTAGTGAACTGCAATAGTATCCTTGGAACGTTGTAAATGACGTGACAAAAATAACAGGTAAGTGGTTGTAGATGATTTTATAGGATCATTGCCATGGAGGTAGAAATTCACTGGAATGCTCTGACAAAACGACTGGGCTATGGACTCATACGTGGTTTCCCACTGTGTATATGAGTCTCCGGATGAGTCGATCGTAAGCGGACTTTTGGCGATTTTCTACTATCTACAGATTAGTCTGTGCTAGTCTGTAAGCCGTAGCTAGGCAGTTATAAAGGTTAAAAAGATACACAGTATACTTCAAGGACTCGAAATGTAGTAGAGAGAGAGGTTTGTCTCTTCATCAGTAGTGGCAGTTCACAACTGAACAACAGTTGAGCTGGTGGAAAACCTGTATATGAGTGGATAGAGGTGCTGTACGCCAGGAGGCTTCAAGGAAGGACGTTATCCCAGCGGCCGGAAGATAACTGCATGAAGAAGGAGCGTAGAATTTTTTTTTAGCGTTCTGTTTATACGCTCGACTAGACCATTTCCTTGTAGGGGTGATCAGGTGTTGTGTTAGTCCTCCAAATACGGAACAAAAAGTAAACTAGGAACACAAAATTACTTTCAAATGCCTTTCCCTAGCTGAAGTAGAGGGAAAGTGGGGTGCCATAACATGTTACCCACTTGTTAAAAAACTCACTGACGATAGTGGCAGCGTCTTGTTTGGGGGGTTGTCACAACTTCACACCATTTAGAAAAATAATCAACCATGAGTGATATGTACCTATTTCCTTTCCTAGGTGACGACAGGAGCTCTATATTATCAATCCCCACACGTTGATACGGTTTTTCGGTCAACATCGGTATTAGTGGTGTCACAGGCTTTTTTTGACACAGGGGGGGGGGATGACTCAGTTCTCATGTGTGTCGCAAGCTTTACAGGACTACTGAACATCACAATGGACCAATGATTACAGAAAGCTTTGATGGATAGCAGCTTCCATTTCACTTTCATCGGGATGACCAAGTTCTTCATGTATTTTAAAGATGATGTGCAAGACTTTCGACTCAGTAATAATAAATCGAGGTGTGTTTAACTAGGTACAAAACATCCCTGATTAGGCGCAGTGTCCTCACTTAACACAGTTGCAACGTGCTGCTAACTTCAGATCCCTAAACTCTTGACTACAAGGCTTGACGTTGCAACAAACTGAGAGCCTGCAATCCGTCCTGTATCGAATCCGCAGCAGTGGTTTTAAACTGAAGCTCACCAAATGTCAGCTTTTGAAACAATCCGCCACGTTTTTGGGGCATGAGATTACATCTGAAGGTGCCAGCATAAGCAGGACTGACGTTCAGCTCAGCCTGACCCATTTCTATGTCGACATCAAGAGTGAACAGTTTCATGGGCCTCGCAACCTACTACTACCTTTTCGTCCAAACTTCACAAGCCTAGCAGCGCCCTTCCATCGTTTGACCGAAAAAGAGCGAAAATTCGTCTGGACTAGAAAGTGCCAGAAGGTATGTGACTGGCTGAAAATGCGTTTCACTTAACCGCTGATACATCTTCAGCCGAACTACTCATTCTAGTTACCGATAGTGGTGTCTACGCTGTCGGGGTAGTGTTGTTTCAGTTGACAGCCGACGGATATGAGACCCTCATAGGACACGACAAACGTAAATTAGATAAGAATAGACCTCATTATTCCACTGCACACTCTTGCATATTTCTTGTGATATTTCTAATATTATCTATCGAGTCCGGACAGATTACCGAGCTTTACAGTGATTGTGCAATTTTCAAGATGTTGAGGGTGAGATTTCTCATTGGGAAGAACGACCGCGCAAGAGTTTACCCTTGCCTGTGAATATTGGAAAAGACCACATCATGTTAACGCTGGTTTCATGTGTTATGACACTTTTAACTTTTATTTGTCCGTTCTTTTCTTGCTTTCTTATTGTTTTACCCTAACTTAATCAAAAAAATTTATTCCATCTTTTCAAGTTGTATATTGTAGCATTTTAAATTTGCTGCGGCCCTGTGTTAGCTTTTAAACTGGTCCATTTACCTAATTATAAAAGTTTACCATTATGTAATTAAACAAGTTGATTCTGCTAGTATTTGCTCTAATGGTTTACTTTTCTTTATTTTGATGTACAGGCTCATCTCATTGTTATTGCACATGTTGTCGCCGACCAATGCCCAGTCAAGCGACAATACATGCTCGTGGGATAAACAGAGTTGAGTGTGAAGTGTGCCGACATACATTTTGCTCGTTAATTAATCCTAATGGATGTTCAGCCTGCGATGGTTATTGTTTATCTCGTGTACAAGGTAATTACAGTGTATTTATGTCGTAATATATGAATTTTTAATGAATAGAATTGCATAAAGAAATGGTGTTTGTTCGTGACTTTTAGCAGGATAAGAAGAAAAAGGTTTGCAAACTGTCCTGTGGGAAGATGATTAGTGATTCAGCACTGATATTCATTGAGAAACTATTGGGTCGATGTTTCAGCTTGTTTTTAGAGTTCTGTGTGTTTATGTGTGTCACCGTCAACTCTATCTAACATATATGCTTACCGGATCTTGTGGACCTAGCATTCGATGCTAGTTGAAAATGGTGACAAAATAGACGATCTTCTGGGCGCATTGAGAAGAAATCTGAGCGTATTTCGCATGCGTTTCGCTGGCATTTGTCAAATGTGTAAGATAATGCTTCAGGATTGGTCCGCTGCAAGTACTCCCAGTTTAATGATGGGGAGTGAAGTAGTGGAATGTGTTCACCAATTCACTTACCTAGGGGGTCGCATCAGGCCAAACAGGTTGGTTGCTGACGAAATTGCAGTTCGGTTACAAAAGGGTTGTTTGGCATTCGCCAACTTGCGTCATCAGTGGCCCCAACAGGCGAGGTATCCGATTATCCATAAGACGACGAGTATGCTCCTCTACAGTCTGTTCTGTATTGTTATACGGCTGTGTTCGTAGAATTGCTCGCGTTTTGTAAAATCATTGTATGAAAAATGTTGGGGTCAGGCGAAGGGTATTGAGCAAGATGAGCAAATCGATTGATGAGGTTATGAAGCTTAGTCGACTAAGATGGCTTGGACATGTACTGCTCATGCCCAGCCACCGTTTACCTCAGCGTGCCATTTTGGAGGAAGTAGTATTAAGTCGAGCGTGGCCAGACCAAGACGTGATGCTAGTCGATGAAGTCCTTGACTGTTGATCTGAACAGTGTCGGGAGATGTAGACTGTCTGAATGTGGTCTGTCATTATATATTCAGCTGAATTCCTATGTTCCGCTAATATAATTGACACTGACCGGTAACTGTGACTTATGTACTTGACCTCACAGTCATTGCATGAAATTTGATAGATTAGATTATTCTGCTTAATTGGTCCTATCGGGTCTTTAAGCCAGCTGACAAAGTCTATCTCTGAGTGAGTTTGTAGGTTTAAATGCCACACTAATTCCAGCTATGTTGAGAATCTTTTATCAAGTTTCTGATGTACATTCCTTACATGGTAACACAATAGAGACTTTCAACTTATTTTTGCTCGTGTTGTCGCCATTATTCGTATTTGTATTACTGTAATTATTTTGTTTCTTGACTTGTTTCTGTTGACTTCAAGTCATCTCATTCAATGTCAGTTCAGGCAGGTCTAATCAAATATTTAGATGATAGAGCTAAAAAACTCACCAGTCATTGTAGGGACTTAAAGAAGGAACTGAAGCACATAAAAGAAGTGCTAGTAGTTAGTAATTATCCTCTACAGTTTATTAGGAAATTCGTAAGAAAACGTAACAAACGAAATAATAATGACGAGTAATAACGACAAAACAAGTAGAAAGGAGTTCGCAGCCTCGATTGTATTACCCTATAAGGAAGGTACATCAGAAACTTTACGTAGGATCCTCAACAAAGCTGGAATTAGGGTGGTATTTAAACCTACAAACTCACTCAGAGATAAGCTTTGTCGGCTGGCTTAAGAATCCGATAGAACCAGTTCAACAAAATAATCTAATCTATCAAATTCCATGTAATGACTGTGAGGTCAAGTATATAGATCAAACTAGCCGGTAGAGTTCAGTTGGATTAGCGGAACATAGGAATTCAGCAAAATATAGAATGACAGACCAGAATAAGATCAATAATCTTGAAGACAACTCGGCTATTGTAATGCACGCATTACCACACAACCACACAATAGGCTGAATGGGATAAAACCACCATACCACTTAACTCCAGTATAACTAAGTAGAGAGAGGGAGAGCATAATTACTGAATCTTTGTTCATTGGATCAATCAACATCCAACACATATGGAATCGAAATGATTCAACACGTATACCAGAGATATAGAAAATTTCACTACCAATAAAAACAAAGGGTATCAAGCGACAGGAGTATAAAATCAGATATCGATAGTTGTGTGATTACATTGATATGATTATGAGGAATAAGTAATTTATGCTGGGAATATCATCAAGTAAATAATACTGGATCACTTTGCGCTATATATCAAATAAACAAATGTAATATGGAATTATGTTGGTATCGGTAATGGTTTATCTTTTTCTAAATATTCTATTTTATCTATCATGTTTTTTGAATAAGATATTACTGATAAATTTGTTGATAATTTTTAGATTTGACACGGTATACAACACTACCTCGTACATTGTTATTAAATAATCGTATAGAGACAGGGATTCTAGAGTGAGTTATTTAAGTGTTACATAAATTTACTTTCTAAATGAAATTGAATATATCATAATTGAACTCATTTGCTTTTGTAGAGCGTTGACATGTTTTTGTTAGGTGTTTATTTGCCAACTATTACGTTGAATTGTGCTGAATGTATTTCAGATGACCACCGATATCATAGTGTATCATACTTACAGCTTAGTGTATGAATTTCATCTCGATTGTGTAGTTGTGTCGATCTGTGTTCAGTCTCTATAGATACTCTTACATAAAATTTACAACGGAGAAAATTTCTCTTGATAACAATTTCACTTCCGAAACCTGTACCATCATGTAATGTCCTCTTTGATATGCATCTACATGTTTATCTGGTCTTATGCAGTTAGGCACATAAGCCTATCATCGAGAAACATTTCATGTTGCATTCGAGAGCACCTCGCAATATGGCTAAACAAAGGGGGATGTAGAGCGTAAATTTATCCATGCTCAAAAATGTAGTTGACTACAACTATGCAACCTGTGAATCATCATTTGACATTATTTACAAGGTCAAGGTGAACGCAGAAGCCACTAGAACTATGTGCTGAGAAACAGTTAGTCTAGTTTCTTATTATTTTGACCACATGTTTCATACAACCGGCTCTTCTACTGAATCCATTTTATTTTGTCTCAACATTTTCAACCTCCCTTGTTCGTTATCAGATCAAATCATATTTTGTCTGATTGATATTCATATTGGTTGTTTCATATAATTCTTTTCAATCAAATACTTCTAACTAAAATCACGCTGTATTCATGAACTCATCCGCCTTCTATTTGTGTCTTTGATCTGTGGTCGCTTCTATTTTTCCAATTGATTTGATGATTGATGAAAATATTATCCTCAATCGTTATTAATATTCAGGCAATATCGAGGCATCTGCATAGGAGCAATTCGATACAATAAAAACAACGGAGAATTACGAGTATATCAATAGTGAGTAATAACTAATACCCGTTGTACAAGAAGCGGCTATCATGTCACCATGGCATACTGGATAACGCTTTGGCGTTTGAAGCGATAAGTATAAAGTTTGAGTCTCACTGGGAACAACAACACTCACTGGGGTGGAAGTACATCCGGCTGACGAGTCTCAAATAAGACGGAACGCTCGTCCTGGGTCCTTCTGGTAGTCACAGCCAAGCAAAGTGACCATATAAGAACACTTTGCGATTCTACTTACTGTAAAAGCGACACACACACACAAAATCAAATTTGTTATTGTCTACCTCAACGGATGTATAAATACGATTGTATAGCTTTTGAGAACGAAGTTGTCGCTGACAGAGATTTTCTTCTTTACTGAAATTTTTTGCTTTATATCTTAATGGAGATTTTTAACTTCATACTGAGTTGGGGTTAGGGTTAAATACAAACGGCGGTATCTCCAAACCGAGATGAATTGGGATGTTCACAAACCTCAGAAATTCATGACAATAGTACTGAGGAGTATATTAAGCGGCAATGACAGTGAAAATTATGAGGGGCAATAGGCGTTGATAACACACATGGATCAATCTAAAATGTGAGACATAACTCTATAAAGTAAAAGGTATGAAGGGATTTCGGGATTTTAATCACAGTTGTCTTTCTACCGTTGCTCGCGTTTATGGGGATCATCGCAGCAGTGTTGAGGTCAGAACAAGTTAGGGTACTAGGCAAGATAGGCAAGTCGATTGATGAGGTCGTGAACCTTAGTCGGCTGAGATAGCTTCAGGATGTACTTCATATGCGAGCCACCGTCTACCTCGACATGCTAGGGGAAGTTGTATTAGGTTGGAAGATGATTGGGGATGGTCAGACAAGCACGTGATATCAGTCAATGAAGTCTCTTACTGTTCGTCTGAGTTATATGAGGAGATGTAGATTGCCTGAATGGGGACTCCGAGATGGTAAGAAACAGTGGTTGAGAACTCTCAGTGAAATGGTATTAAATCGGCCTCACCGGCGGAGACATATTCACTCTTCGACATCTGAAGCTTGAGTGTTTGCACTAAGTGTTATCTTGAAATTGTTTATTCTCTCACACTACTTTATCTACTTTGATATCAGTCTTTCTCTATCCACCTATCTTTGTGAACTACTATGAAGTGTGGTAACTTTAGCCGGTTCATCTGTATGTAAGGTTCTATGTCGATTTTGTCAATCAGTCAAAAAGAACGCAATAAAAATGTCAACTTGATTTGTTCTTAGGGTTAATTGTCATGATTAACGGGAATTTATCCAACATATTAGTTAACTGATTTGCAAGACAGAAAGAAAACCAGTTGTGAAATCGAACCAGGTATTTGTTTGAAAATTATTTACCTCAACGATGAGCGATCTCATGCATTAGGTAATTAATCGCATTTTGTGTGTGAGTACTAGTGGTACCTTCTGATTGTCAAAACCCTCTGCAGGTGAATGAAGTAAGGCTAAGACCTTTAGTCTATTGCTGGTTGACAATCAAATTTTTAAACCAAAAACCTTACCTGTTCATGATTTGGATACCTTCCACAACTTGATTCCATGTTGAAATTCATTACAACAAATCTTGTCTTGGCATGATGCTAGCGAACAGTCGCTGACTGTCTTTACGCATACTTTAAGCATTTATCATAATCTTTGAGCAACTTCAACTTTTACTTCGTGGTTTAAGGATCGAATTTAATCCTATTTATCTCAGTGATGATTTTGGGGAAAACACAAGGCTTTTCATCCCTTCTAGTATATTCATCATATTCATTCTCACGGTTCCTGTCCATAGATGTTTATAAGACATTGATTTATCTTCAACGGATGCTTTCTGAGCTATGTACTTGTTACCCTAACTATCAGAGTAAATAGCAGTTATTATGTAATCTTCAAAAAATGGAGCAAAATACTGGGACATCCTCTCAAACATTCCATCTGTCCACTTCGTCTATCCATGTGGATAGGCGATCCTCGGGTAACTCATATTGATTAGACGATTCAGTATCGATTCGTGACCTTTCTCAGCTAAAACAGTTTAGTTTTCGATGGTTTGTCTCATTATCTTTATTAATGCAACAAAATCTCTATACAACGGTCGACGTTGACATTCCTCACAGCTGATTAGTTTTTCAACTGCTCAACTATGGTGTCAATAGGGTTTCCGCTTAAAAACATTCAACCGAGATCAAACGGTTTGATCTTTGACACAAAAATGTTATGGGCTAACGAAAGATACTACTATTGAACAACTTGAGTAGTGAGAAACGTTCCCAGACTGATCTGTAGTATTTCACCAGTCAAATCAGAGTGATCTAAACACAGGACGGCTGTTTCGCTTGTTTGGGCCTGAGCTCATCGGTGGTGCACTTGGGAAAATCCAGCTCATAAAGCTGAATTAGTCGAGGTTACCTGAGCTGAGTTTGTTTGTGTACACTGCTGATGAGCTCAGCCTCAGACGAGCAAAATGGCCACCTGGTGTTTAGATCACTGCTTTGGCTGGTGAAATCCTACAGGTCAGCCTGAAGAGGTTTCTCACTACTGAAGCCGTTCAGTAGTAGTATCTAATATCCGCATCTCTTATGTTTTCACCATTAGTCTGGCCAATATCTCTCAGCCCTCTTTTCACAGACTTGTTATATTACATCATCATTTACACTTATCTCAAATTGTCTACAATAATTTGGTTGAAGTAGATTTTTTTTTTCTGTTTCACTGGATGACACTCGTTTGGATCTCTGTGCTGGAGTTTTATCGTCGCATACACATACGTTGCTAATGAGAGTAATAATAATAATAATACATAAAATTGTATCCTTCTTTTTCCAGGACTATCTAACATCTCAAGGAATTTCTATTCCAACCTTTATTGGACAGTGTCTAACAACATACATTTGTACAACAGTGATCTATCCATCTTGTATACTGAATGAAAATTCTATTATATGTAAAAGTTGCGGTGAACATGTACTCAGTCAATTAGCCTACAAGTATCGTTTATCAATATGCGCTGATCAATTACCAGATGAAGTAGTTTTAAAACCAAACTGTTATTATGGACGATATTGTCGTTATCAAACAAGTAATTATCATCATGCTAGACGTTTTAATCATATTTGTGAAAGATCATTTTAAGATATTTTTATTTCTTTCTGCATAGAATTTACTAAGTAAGGCCAATTTATCGAACTGTGAATATTTTCTGTTATTTTGTTTCTTTGTGTTCTACTGTTAAACCAGTTGTGCATTTACTTATTCAAAAGCCTCTATCTTAGACATATATATTCTCAGTTTCCACGTATTCTAATAGAGATTTAATTTGTTTCTTCAACTGTACATAAAACATTTTAGAAAAACTTAGATTATATGACAGAAGTAAAGAAATTTCTTTTCGTGATATTCTCTAAACACCGTTATTCGATATTTACAAATAAATCTAATTATTATCACTGCGATTTCTGTTTTGTTTGTATCATTTTCTTAGAATAAGTGTCCATTTTCTTTTTTCACGTGACAAACAATATTGATGTTATATCTTTCTCTTGTCTCCTATTGGATGAATCTCGTCGACCTTGAAAATGGACATTGAATAGGCTTTATTCGATTGTCTAAATTCTGAAGGTTATTTGAAGGTTGCATGAATGCAGTCATATGATTCTTTGTTGATTTGTTTACAAGTTAAAAATCTAGGTTAAATCAATACAACGATGAGGGCTATTATAAGTATTATTTCAGTTTTATTTAAGACATTATTATTAATGACCATCTTCATCATCTGTTGTTTTGAAGGATTACCTAAATTGTCCAACACCCAGTGGAGTCTGTTTTAGAATGTACTAACAATCATGAATTCAATGTCTCGTGTAGCAGAACGTTATTACTACTAATAATTAGTCAAATATACTACTATTTACTGAGTTATTTGTTATTTACCTAGTGGATACAAGACTAAAAAGATAGTTTTCTGTAGTTTGCATCATTTGGATCTGACTGGAGTAAGCCTTAGATCGATTTAGCCGCTATCTTTGAGTAGTTCAAATTTCTTGCTATTCGTTTTCTCTCATGCGGCCATACATGTTCGACTGTATTTTGATGAAGGAAATCAAATAAATGGTGATTGAACTGTCTAAACTGCACTTCGTCATCTTAATGTTTCGCCAGAAGTAAGCCAACCGAAAATGTGATAATCCCTTCAAAAGTAACTTGCGACCAAAGCTACATGTATCTGTTATTGCCAATGTGTCGTACACCAGTTGGTCATCAAAGGGTTAATAGTGTAGCTATCATGTCCTGAGTGCTAATCGAAGTATACTAATTAAGTTTGCAGCGTATGTAATAAAATAAGTGACACTAGAAACCGATAGACGTTTTTGATGTTACCTGTTAGGAGTCGACCCACAAAGTACCCTATTTCATCTGACTTCTGTAGATGTTTCCAATTATCAGCAAAACAACTGCAACCTTTAGGGAACTCACGTTTTCTAGAGGATAGTAACATATGTCACTCCATGCTGAAGTTATATATCTGACCAGTAAACTGTTCACATTTATTTACGTTACATTCATATATGTTAGGTGCATTTTTCTTTGGATTCGAAAGTAAAACACCTGAAGGCGGTATTTGCAGACCTATTATTGCAATTTGAAAAAAAGAAATTGACCATGATTGTTGAAATTGTGATATATCGCAAAATGTTTTTCAGGTTGCTTATTTATGCCTATGAGATTGACACAGTGACTGTCATATCTGGTTTCTGGTTGATTCTTGTATCAATGATAAGATAATACTTATGTCTTGGATAGATTACTACTACTCGAAATTTGTTTTACTGCTTTGTGTCGGATGGTTTCAGTTGACTTCATTCGATCTATGATATCTGCGGCTTATTTAGAGGAGAAAGATAACATATAATGATACGTTTCTGTCTGTAAAAGGTATCACATTTAACTGAAGAATATAAGACTAATTGCTTCTTCGGCGGCTTGTGCTCTTCGACTATACGAACTAGATCTTTGTGAGTAGAAAGAAAGGTTGGTCAGTTTATGGCTTACACGGTGACTCTGCCCTAAACCTTTAGATTTTACTCCTTCTCTTCTGGTTTCTTTTCCAAGCAATAGTAATCCTTAGGTGATATGTTTTGACGTATTTCTATTATTAACTATATCGTTGGCTAACATATTCCTGTTCTGCTCTAGATATCATAGTTTCCAACCAATTTTGTCTATTTTATTGCATGCTATTGTGCTCCACCAACATTTTACTCAACTATATGTCAATTGAAGGTTTGTGGGTATTATTTATTGATTTCAGGTTGGTATTTATCATAGACTGACGTCAGTTAGAGAAACATTGGAAACCTGGGAGCACTGGACAGCTTTTTCGTCCTAGTATGGGACTCCTCGACAGTACGCACCCATGACCCACCAGGGATTGAACCCAATATTTCTCCAACTGAAGTCAGTCCTTGATGGATACCAACCATGCCAACTCCATTTTATTCTTTTGATTCAAAAATATATTGGATTCTATTGCCTATTAACAATTAAACATCATTTTTATACTTGAAAAGTAACCTCTTGAACCCAATGATGATTTAGCTATGAGACCATCTGTGATAGTTGTGGTGTGACAGATTGGTATCGTTGATACGAAGTGAGAATTAAAGGTGAAATAGGAGTCTGGGTTGCTTCAGGATTGCAAGCAGTTAACGGGTCATTGACCTTGGTGATCTAACAAACAACTGAACTATGAGATCCTTGGTGGAATTACGATCTATTAAAAAGCTGCGTCTCGTAGTTCAGTTAGCTGAGCACCAGATTGGTCAATCAGGAGTCACTGGTTCGATTAATGCCATCAGTCAGGTTTTTATTTCATATTCTATTACCACTCCTAGTCGCCATCCACCTCGTCACACAATGTTGGTCGAAGTAGGTTCAGTCTGGAAAAGACTCGAGACTCTCAGCCAGACTAAAACATGGCATCAATGTATGAAGTGTTTGACTATTGGTTTGAGCCATGTGGAGCTATGCAGACTAGGTGGTTGGTGTCGGTGGGACAAGTGAAACCAGTGGTTGGCGACTCTAGATGATGGATCATGGCTGAGAACCGATGTCAGCGGCGTGGGTCTATACACACATTATCCTCATGTTAACGCTCTACTGAATCTCACCATTTTCTCATTCTTCCTTTCTCTCTTTTAGTACTTTATATTTCTTCTGATTGGATTTTCTTTTCATCATCTTCCACTTAACTGTCTTTTTACGTGATTTAGTGATATGAGGTATGACAACTCGTAGGGTTATGCAGTAATGCCTAGTCCTATGTTGATTTGGATGGATGGATGTACTCCTCATCAGTAAGTGATCATTTGTTGTCATCTTAATAATCTACGTATCATTCGTGTAGGGTATTCAGCTGAATAGTTCCTTGCAGATTATTTTTCCAAAGTGTTGAACATTTTTAAATGACCGTCATCTGTTTATACTGACTAGTTTGTATACACCTTTGTCCACTTTTATTATATTGATTTCCGATTGATCTTTTCTTTGGATACTGGCTTGAAGTGTGATGACTTGAAGTGATACACTTTGCGACAGGTTCTACGTAGATATATTTTTTTGTCTGTCTATCACCAAATTCTCCTTTTCTTTATACCTACTGTTTGTTTCAAATTCATCACAAGAAATGTATCATGCTTCATCTGTCATCAATTTTTTTATGTTCATCTTGGCATTGACTACTCTTAGAGGATTATTTAGTCGAATTACTCAGAAAGTGACTTTCAGTCAGGCCTCTTTCTACTTTTATCATCATCTTCGAGCTAACAAGTGAACTGGTCACATAAAACGTATTTGAAATACTTTTTGCATTTACATAACCTATATAAATGATCAGGAAAATTTTTTTTAATATGAAATTTGAAACATTGTATAGGATGTAATTTTACTTGTGTAATCCCGGCGTAGTATATTAGAACAAATAACAAAGTAAACAACATATTTTGTATTATTCCTCAACGTTTCGATCTTGATAGGAAGATCCTTTTCAAGAGTATGAATCTGACACTAAGTTTTCAGGTTAATATTCAAGTTTTGCTACACAAAGTGGTGACTTTTACAATCATTCATTTACATGGTGATATGGAGCAAACATCAATGTAATGCAGGTGAGTGAATAAGCAACTCGGTCAGAGAGGTTTTTCCGTTGTGCGAGTAAGGTGGAACAAAAAATAGAGTGGGGAAATTTTTTACTTCGTCTATGAAAAGTACAATGGGGTTGTGAGACATCAAGGTTGAGAAAGAATAGATTACTAGTTTGGAAGGATGAATATTTGAAGATGAGACAATATATCTTAAATAAATAATAATAATGATAACGATAAAGGTACTTTTGATAACACTTGAAGTATGAGTGATAACAAAATGGATTATGTTATGGTTCATCGAATGTATATGACTCAGAGAGTAATGTAAAATTGATGAAAATAGTAGATCAATAAGGTGTATGTAATAGGACTAGACAATCTACTTTCTCTTCAGATATTATTTATAACTGCCTAGGCGAGTCATTAATGTTTGCCATATTAGTGGGATGTCTAACCCATCTTTTCTGTTGACCGAAGAAGGATATGAGCAGATGTGCAAAGCTTCTGCAATGGTCCGCTCTTTGTGAGAGAGAAAACCCTTTTGCAGAACTTTTGTCTGTTCGAATGATATTTTATGACCTGGATATAGGGCATGAGCTGCGATAGCAGAGCTTTTTTCAAGTTTTTCTAGATCATAGGAATTTTTTGGTGGTTTTTTGGAACTTCTACCGTGTTCGGCTAGACGTGTTAGTACTTGACGTGATGTCTCTCCAATATATGTGGCATCGCATTCACTGCAGTCTACCTTATAAACACAGTTTTGTTGTTCCAAATGAGGAATCGGATCTTTTAATTTACACAGGTGTGAGTGTAATGTATTCGTCACCTTAAAGAATACTCTGATGTTGTGACTATTAAGAATACGTCTTATTTTCTATGAAGTGGATTTTCGATAAGGAAGTACTATAGTACTTATCCAATCTTTATGGCTTGGCTTCTCATATTTTTATTCGATAAACTTTTTTCGATCGTCTTTAATAGTTTGTCTGG